TTTTTTTTTTCCTATGGATTATTTTTTCAATATACCTTTGATTTGCACAAGTATTAAATAATATATATGAGACAGTAAAATCATCTTAAACAATAAATTATTAACTAATTGACAAGCCTTGTGAATATATTGTTCCCTTTAACCTACATATATGTTTCAATTTTAATTAGGAAAATTCATGCGGATCATTCTCATTTCAAGGAACATGTCATCGACCCACTTGTCTCTTTGGTCATCACACATAATTGCTTTGCTTGACACACAAATATATAGAATTATTTATACTAAACTCTTTTATAACATAAATTTAAGGTTTTCACAAAAGATCTCCACCTAACCATATTAAATTCATTAGTTAACAAATCACTGTCCAACTTTATTTTATTTTTTCCGACATGCTAGTTATCTAATTAACTAAACGTGCGGTATGTATCGAAATTTCCGAATGCTTAAAGTTGGTTGTGTTTTATACAATAAACAAATTAAACCATTTATGAGTTAATTGTAATTTACGGCAGATAATTTATATCCATGTTAATATTGGTGCCTCGTTTTAGTTTGCCACGCGTAACCAATGTTAGTCACTACTTTTTTCGTCCTGCTTGATCCATTGTTTTCTAACAATTGGTTGAACCAAAGTTGATTGCTATATTTTTGGATCCTTGACCCAATTAATTCCAAGAATTTCTGTTTCAAAAATTGTTTCATCTACAAATATTAGATAAAATATTATTTTTAAATTTAAAAAATGATAAGTGTGACACATTAAAATCATTTATATTCAAATTACTTTAAAAAATTTTAAATTTAAAACTCACACATTTGCAACGTGGTTAATTTGAATAACTAATTAACCATTTGATTTAGGTTAATTCAATTGCTATTTGCCTTTTGCCTTCTCTCTTTTTAGGTCAACTTTTGATCTTTTTTGGTAGTTAGCAGTCACAGAAAACGACCTCTAAACAGCACAATGTCCACGACAAATTTCCAAATCAAAATGTAGGTATTTATTTTAATGAAAATCCTTGATTTGTTTTAAAGGGGCGGGCCGGCCACATATTAATGTCAAAACCAAAGATAGGTAATTAAATATTTCTTTATTGAAAACTAATCCTTTCATTCTGGTCCGGTCTGTGTGCATAAAAATATAAA